TGGATGCCAGGAAAACAGGTAGGGGAGGTTCGTGCAGTAAGTGCAAATTTTCCCAGAAGGGAGTCAACATGGTGTGTGTTTTGGTGTCAAATGACACAAATTTTCTTGTTTGGGTTGTTGTAGCTGAGGATGTTGGATTCCAAAATTATACTGACTTCAATAAATTGTTCCTCATTATCAAGGCAATTTTATCCTTTGCAGATGTTCTATCTTTATGGAAACAGTAAATGATCTTGCTTAAATTCAGTAGCATATAAAACTGTAACAACAAAAATGTAACTAAGAAAGAGTTCTTGAGAGGTCAAAAGGCCATTTAGTATACTCTAGGTAATATTGTATCTAAAAAAAATAACATTCTCGATTATGTTTATTTTCGTATAATTTCAAAGAAAGCTACAACGTTACATCTGTCTGAGGTTACACTGGTTGCCCCAGTGCTAAAGCCGACTCTGTATTTTGGAAGGCAGATTTTTTTTACGGCTCCTTATAACTAAGGTAATTCTAGCATTGGGAAATAATCAGTATTTCAAGGAGTGCTGGGCTCCTCATTACTGAAGGCATTTAAGCAACAAATGGTGATTAACAAGGCTCAGTTTCCTTGTGCATTTGAGTGTGTCTTGTGTGAGGTACGTTAGATAACTAGGAAATCGATCCAAATGCCCTGTAAACAATGCAATGCTGTTTTGCTTTCCTTGTGGTCTCCCAAACCTAGCCCTCATTGTCCCCATGTTTGAATTATTTTTTATGGATTCACTGTTCATTTTAAATTGAATTGCATGGTAATATTCTTACCACAAAAACTGAGTGAAAGCCAAGGGGAAAAAATTCCAAGATGGCATTGTTATTTACTAAGAGAATTTGAGCATAGCTGTGTCTCAAGAAATCCTCCAACACATCTCCTCTTTCTGACGAGTCCATCTATGTGGACTATGTAACAATTTTCTAGCATCCCTTAGTTGTCCGTTCAATGGCTTCAAGCTAGAACTTCTGGAATATTCTGTGTTCACAGCAAGACAGACACACACTGTTATCTTGAACCTGTGTCAGAAGCTGTGGGAAAGGCAGAAGAGCAGTCAGGTCGGACATCATGGAGAAGGGGGCATCTGAACAGACTAGAAGGACAGGAGCAACGAGCCACCTGGAAATGTTCGGGGACAATATTTCAGGAAGCTGAATGTGCTAAGCAGGGTAGAAGGCAAGTCCAGGGCAGTTGGAAGAATTCTACGGAGGCCGAGTGCTGGGCGCAGAATGGACGAGGAGGGAAGCACGGGGAGAGGCTGAGGGGGGACGGGAGGAGAGAACAAGTAGGGCCAGGTAAACTGTCTGGGCTTTGGCTTTTTTCCCTTAAGCTTTATTTAGGAAATCACAAGTGCTATGGAGTTCAGTATACATGACACAGCCAGTACTGTGCTCCTGGTGGCAAGGGCAAACGTTTTGTTAAGGTATCTTTCTCACTTGCTATAAACATTTCCCAGTTACTTAAAGATCACAGTCCCAGTGATTTTGCCCAAGCATGAGAGGAGAACACAGCGCACGGCCAAAATAATGAACCACAGAGATGAAAAACAGAAACACAAGTGAGCAGACAGTTGATTCTGATTTGGTGACAATTAGCAGAGGTGAATGTGCTGATTGTTCAGTCGCAATGTTTCATCCCCTCACAGGAACAATTCACAGCCTATCTGTGTCCCCCGTGCGGGCCGTTGTGTTTTACCAGTCTCACTTCGGCTGCTTTATTGAGCCGGGCAGGGCGGGCGCAGAAGGGCTGTAAGGAGACCACTGTGACAATCTGGGTGAGAGGGAGCGGCATTTTTTCCCAGGAAACAAGCACTGCTGGTGGTGAATAGTGATCAAATCAGATTCTGGATATATTTTCAGGTGGAGCCAGCCGATTTTGCCGAAAAATAAACCAGATATTAGGGCTGAGAGGGACGAGAGTCAAATTCAAGGCTTGGAGCCTGAGCGAGTGCAGGGATGGAGTGCCCGTTAGTGACACGGGAAAGACTCACTGAGGGAGGCTGGTGGTAAGTCAGGAACGCTCAGGGCAGGTCGGGTCGCATTAAATTCCAGGGGCTGATGAGACGCGGGCGTGTGCGTGTCGAATAGGGCGGTCGTTTACACAAGGCTTCTATTCAAGCCCGATACATAAATTTCAGCGTTGACCGCACAGAGACGACACTGAAAGTCTAGAAACTGCCCGAAACCGCGGAGGACGGGAGCGGGGCTCAGAGGTACTCAGCCCGGGCGACGCACGTGTGAAAAGCCGGGGCTGCGGCTGAACGCGCAGAGCACGTGGCCGTGGATGTCAAGTGACAGAGTCGATCCAGGAGGAGGGCGGGGGCGACTTCGCAACGCTGCTGACAGACTGATGATCCGGAGCGAGGATGACGCCTGGAGAGCAAGGCGGACATGGCAGAGCAGTTTGGGGGAGCGGTGGGAGAAAATTCCCGACTGCAGTGGATTCGAGTGAGCACGGAGCAGAGGACCTGGGGGCTGGGAGGCTGCGCCCTCCAGAAGGGAAGGGGTCCGTAAAGGGAGCCGACCAGTGCCGGCAGAGTTTGGAGAAGAGAAGAGCATCCAGACTATTCTCCGTTTTGTCGTTTTCAAAGGGAGAGGAAGCCAGCCTGTGGGCAGCTGAGGAGATGGTTTGGCAGGAAAGGGGCCCGGGGGGACTTGGGACGGAGAGGAGGTGATACCTGCGAAGGGGAGAAAAAATAATTCTTTTCTCAACCCTCATAAGTTCGTTGCTGGGACAGATCACTGAAACAAAGCACAGACGAACAAGAGAAAACCAAGCGCGTCTATTTGCACTTGGCAAACCCATCACACCACTGGGGACAGCATCTCCCTCAGGAAGCTCTCCAGAGGCAGTGGCTTAGACGCCTGGCTCTCACGGTATTCTGACTAACAGCCATCCATCCCATACAGCGACAGAACAAAGAGAAGAGCATCCCCAGGCTTTTGAAAGGTGGCAACCTGTGGGAAGGTAGATTTACGGAAAGAGTGGAGTCTGCGGCTAGATCGGGCACTGCTGTCTCTGAGCTGGTGAGTGAGCATCTTGAGGGAGCCCGTCTTTGGGTGGGAAAAGGCAGAGAGGAGGGCAGGACGACCTTCGTCTTTGTCAATCACTGTCCCACCATCAGGAAAGCAGAGGGGGACAGAGCATCCCCCAGCGTTTTCACCTTCCTCAGCTCAACAGTCTTCAGTATTTTGGAGAGGCGTATTTTGGTTTCTTTCACCTGCGATGCCTTCCAGCATGCGGGAGGGCGCAGCACCTAATGCCCAGTGGGGGTTTGCCTTAGACCCAGACCCAGACTGTTTATTCAGAGGGAGAGGCGGGAAGTCCACAGGAACAAACGGTGGTAGTTGGGAGGATTTGGTGGCCCGAGCTTGCAGATAGTGTCATTGGAGGATTTCGTTTTTTTCAGTAAAATACATCTCCCATGGAGGGTTCAGATAGAAAAGCGTGTGTTGGAAGTTTGAAAAGAGAGGAGCGTAAGTGAAACGGTCCCTTAGGAGACTGCGAGAGTGCAGAGGTGAGGGAAATGTGAAATGATCGCTCCCCGCCACTAAGGACGCAATGGAGTTTGTTTATCGTGAGTTTCAAAGTGGCAACATCAGGTGCTGTGTCTTTCCCCTCAATTGCATGGAAGCTCCCACATGGCAGGTGGATGTTGACTTTGTCCAGAATCGTGGTAGATAACGAAGTAAATGCAAGAAAAGAGGGGTGTACGTGAGGGAGGGATTGCAATGGCCAAGCTTGAGTGTGGTATTTCACGGGGCAGGAAAGGTCCCTGGTGGAGCGAGATGTAGATCCACTCAGCACACGGCTTCCCTCTCTGTATCTCTCTCTCCTTCTCTCTCCTTCTCTCTCTCTCTCTCTCTCTCTCTCTCTCTCTCTCTGTCTCTCCTCCTCTCTCTCTCCTTTTCTCTCTCTGTCTCTCTCACATACACACACACACACACACACACACACACACACACACACACACATACACCAAGGGCATCGATATATATTATTTGAGTGTAGAATGAATAAACTTTCCCGAGGCATCACAGGAGACACGTTGTGTCTGTCTTTTACAGAAAGCCCACACATGAAAATAAGAAGACATTTGCCTCAATGTGTGCATGAATTTTTTAAAATAATTTGTTGTTATTTTTAGTTCTTGTGGTTTTTTAACCAGTTTTAATTGGTAAAACATGGTATCACTGACAAATAAAAATAGCATACTGTATGTTTAAAGTGTACAACTTGATGTTCCGATGCATGCATGCATGTGAAATAGTCATCACAATCAATCTAATTAATAACATTTCCATCACCTCAAATATTCATAGTTAAAATTTTCTTTCTTCTTTTCCCTTTCGGTGTGGTGAGAACATTTTGGCTGTACTAGGCAGAGTCCTTTTTTGCCTGTCTTTGGATCTGAGATGTCAAGATTTCAGAGAACCGAATGATTGGAACTTGCTGCGTGTCTTTCCAAGATCTAATGTTCATGTACAGATTGTGGTTTCAAAATGCGTCCTTACAAAGGAGAGAGGGCCAAGGTTGGTGAATGGATGCCAAAGTACAGCTAGACGGGGAACGAGTTCTAGCGTTCTGCAGCACTGGAGAGTGACTATGATTAACAATGGTTTAGCGTGTGCTTTCAAATAGCTAGAAGAGAGGATTTTACATGTTCCCAAAGAAATGATTAATGTTTGAGGTGATGGATACGCTAATTACCCTGATTTGATCAATACACATTGCACACATGTATTGAAATACCACACGATGCCCCATACATATGTACAATTATGTGCTAATTAAAAATAATAAAAACAAAAGAAAAAAGATATGGAATTATATATTTGTCCCTCTAAAAAGCTGTACATAAGGATCTAAACTATTATAAAATTAATCTTTGAAATTTCAGAGATTGCTAGCAGTATTTCTATGGCTTGCATACTGTGCTTTTCCAAAATGTTTTCTTCCCCCCACCTCCCCATCACAGGCAATGCAGCCCCAAAATGTGTCCCCTGTGACTGAGTTTCAGCTGTTAGGATTCCAGGACCTTCTTGAGTGGCAGACCCTGCTCTTTGCCATTTTCCTGCTTGTCTACTTCCTCACCATCACAGGGAACATTGTCATCATCTCAGTGGTGAGCCAGGACCCACGACTGCACTCACCAATGTACACATTCCTCAAGCACCTCTCCTTTCTGGAGATCTGGTACACGTCCACCACTGTGCCTCTTCTCCTGGCCAACCTGCTGCTCCTTTTCCACCTGTATGGTGGAGCTCTACTTCTTTGTGTTCTTCGGGGCCACTGAGTGCTTTCTCCTGGCCGTGATGGCCTATGACCGGTATCTGGCCATCTGCAGCCCGCTCCGCTACTCCTTGCTCATGAGTCCTGATGTCTGCACCAAGCTGGTGGCAATCTCCTGGTTGACGGGGGTCGTCACAGGCCTTCTGCCTTCCCTGATGATTTCTAAGCTGCACTTCTGCAGGCCCAACCAGATAAACCATTGCTTCTGCGATCTGCCTCCACTCATGCAGCTCTCATGTTCCAACATTTATGTCACGGAGATGGCCATCTTTATCCTGTCAATTGCTGTGCTGTCCATTTGTTTTTGTCTGACACTGGTGTCCTACGTTCTCATCGTGTCCTCCATATTGAGAATCCCTTCCTCCTCTGGCCGGACGAAGACCTTCTCCACGTGTGGTTCCCATCTGGCTGTCATCACTATCTACTATGGGACCATGATCTCCATGTATGTGCGCCCCAAAACCCCCCAGTCGCCTGAAGCCAACAAGGTCATTTCTGTCTTCTACACTACGGTCACTCCACTGCTGAACCCGGTTATCTACAGCTTGAGGAACAGAGACTTCAAAGAGGCTGTTAGAAAGGCCATGAGAAGCAAGTGTGGTATTGATGGAGTAAGAGTGCAAGGGAGCTTATTTATTAGGTAAGGGGAATCTGCACAGAACACACAGTGGATTAAGTGCAGGGATTGAATTCTCCAAGCCATAATGCGACAACTTCATGATGGCTCCTCTCCAACAAATGGTCAGAAGATAAATCGCCTCCACCAAACCATCTTTGGGACAATTTTGTCCTTAGATACTTTCTCCTATCTTTTGATGGAATCTGATTGTATAATTTTGCTGTATGGTGATCACACACACACACATTACTTTCAGATTCTACAATAATATTTCTCTTTTGCTTATATAGCCTTATATACAGAAAGTTCTGCATCTTGTAGGTACTATTAGGAGGATGACCTTGTGGACCTGAAACCTGGTGGATGCCACTGGTATTTATTGAATAGCTGCAGAAAGAGTGACTGAAAAAAGAAAAAAGAAGACATTTGAAATGTGTGTTGGTGCACATTATCTCCTAGTAACAAGAAAGAACAAATAAAGATATTTGAAGTGCCAAACATTTACCTATGATAACCTAGACTTTTTAATGTTTTTGTTTAATGAAACTTTAGGAAAGAAAGGAAGGAATGAGGAGGGAAGGGAAGATTCCAAGTACTGTATGCTATTATAAGCTCTGAGAGTCAAAAGATATACACTAAAATGCTTAAATCACTTTTATATTTTCTTTCATTCTGCCAATATTTAGAATATATCTACTCTTCCTGCCCACTGTTCCATTCATTAACTCTACAAATATTTTTAATATCCTGATATGTGCGGGAGTTATGCTGTAGTCTGAGTTGTTGGGGTGGCAGGGGCATAGAAAGGACTGGGCAATAAAATCAGCCTATGGCCGGTGTATACATGTATCAGAAGGGAAGGACCAAGCAAGACTTTGCCTTAGTGGCGCCTCCAGTGTAGAAGGGAAGAGAAAAATGTAGCAAATCGTAAGGGAATATTGGTTTATTTTTATTTGTGATGATCACTGTGAAACAATAAAGTGCAAGCTGATGCATGAACTTAGAACAGTAAGGCCTGAATCAACATAGAGTTAGGAAAGTGCTCTCTTTTTCTGTAAGTGGTTTAACGTACACTTTAGGGATGAGGAGAACAAGAAGGGCATAAGTGGTCCAGTCAGAGAGGGTGGCGTGAATGGCAGGAGAAGGCTGAGGAACTGGGGATGTGGAGTAAGGAGGTGAGTCTGAAGAGAAAGTTGGGGACTAATCCAGGTATGTCATTGAAAGCCCTGTAGTGTTTTTGGATTTGCACTAAGAGAAATGATCAATGGCATGATGTATTTTGCATTTGAAAACCCCATTGATGTGTAGAGAGAATACTAAAAGAGCAAGAGTTCTGGGGGGTCCTTGTGGAGCCCACCTGGGAGAGGAAGTTGCCTTGATTTTAGGTTCGCTGACGGTGTTCCATCATAGAAAGTGCCACACAGATGGCGAGGGCAGCAGTGGAAATTCTGGCCTCCCTCACTCCCATGCAGTGGCGCCTGTTTCTAGCCTCTGCAGAGACTGGTGACATGTTCCGCACAGACCCCTGAGCTTCAGGTGCATGTGCACTTTGACCCTCCAGTTCATGCAATTTCCTCTCACCACATGTCCTTGGGTTCTTTTACCCTCCCTTTTCCAGTCCTCGAGTTTTCTCCTCCTCCTGGGATTTGGCCTGTGAGAACTGCCCTTCGTCCATCTCGGATCCCTCTGGTGCAATGTTGGGTAGAAGGAAAGTGACGCCCTGGAATCTGAGACAGGGCAGCAGGTGCGTGTGGAGGGGAGAGGCCCTCATTGATCTAGGCTTCTTGTTGGGTGTAATATGAAAACAATCAAATATCTTACCTTGTAAATGGTCATCTCAGATTAGTATACTAACTGTACCTTATAAATAACCAGACTTAGATTACTGACAGCTTCTTTCTATTGTGTTAAAGTTGGTAGGTGCTGGCCTCTGTGTATGGAAAGAAAAAGATTATTGATCTATGTATTGGGAACTTTAAGAAATTATGGCAAATGGACATTTGGATGTAAGAATCTGGAGCTCAGAGGAAGGGTCTGGCCAAAAGTTAAAAATTTGGAAGTTTTCAACATGTAGATAATATGTGAAATATGAAAATGAATAATTTTTTTAGGGACAGAGTGCACATCCAAAAATAAGAGAGTGAATAAACAGAGCATGAAAAAGGTTTAACACAAAACTGAATTAACAGAAGAGAAACCCAGAGAAAGAACAAGAAGGTGCAAGCACAGGGGAGGAGGGCTTGTTTAGGGGGTGGTTGTACAAGTTCCTCTAGAGATGAGTGTGCTGAGAAGGAAGAAGCAGTCAGAATGGAAGATGAAGATTAAGAGGTTTTCATCAAACTTGTCAGCACAGAGATTACTGTTGTTCCTGGGAAGGGCAGCATCTTTGGCATGGGGATGTCACAATTCAAACTGGTGACAGTGGGGGAGGGCATGGCTTGTAAGAAAATGGAAGCAATCGTGTGTGCAAACAATTATCCTGAGAAATGTAATTCTGAGAGGGTGAGAGGAAAATATCATGTTGGAGGGGTAGCTGTATTTCTGTAAGATGTTAAGATTTCAGGATCTGAGTAAGCTTAAACACTTATGAGAAGGGTCCATTAATTAACAATAATCTAAGGGATTGATACAGAAAGTGATAACTGACAGCCTGAGATTGAACAAGAAGAGGTCTAGGGCAAATGTGGAAATACCAGCATTCAATTGGGAAAGTATCTTATTTACTGTGGGAGACAGAAAAGAGAGGTTAGTTGCAAGCTGATGGGTTTAAAGTGCACAGTGTTAGAGACAGCAGTTGTTCAATCTCTCACCTGAGGACTTACTGGCCGGCTTATGTTTCTGAGACATGGTCAATAGCTTTTATTTACCATAGAGATCATAAGTCCGGGTCTGGAGTACGAAGGGCTTTCCACCCTCACTTTGCAAAATGGGATCGATAGGTGATGGAGGAAGACAGACAGGTGGATTTGGGAGCAAAAGTGAGGGCTTAGTTAAAGTAGGGTATCACTGACTTACTATGATATTGGCTGCCTGTATAGGAGGTAAGTAAAGCAAATAATAGAAGTCTAGAGTGAAAAAATATGCAGTCGTAGTAGGGTTGTTTGAGCTATGTCGACCAACAGGAAGTGATACTTAGAGATTTGGAGGCTTAAATTAGGAATTAAGACATTGTTTAGTTTCAGGTGACAACAAAGCCAAAAGTATGGCCATCAGAGTGAGTGAGATAATTAGGCATGAAAGGAAGGATGGTTACATGGCTGCGGGCAAGAATTCGAGTAGGAAAGAAATTCATGATCCTAGTGTCATCTGTAGATAGAGGGAGTGGCCAGTAGTTCAGTAAATAGTCCCTATGAGAGAGAGTGGGTTGTGTGCTTCCATAGCATGAGCCTTGAAAGAAGATGTTATTAAAAGAGAGCAGGGGAAAAATATCCTAAAGAAAGCATTACATTGCACGGAATGTATCATAACTACAAACTGACCTTGAGAATAAGGGGTCAGTGCGATGCTGAGCAATACCATGGGAGTTAGTGCCCAGGCTGTCAGGTGAAAAGATGGGGTAGAATTTATGAAGAGGTGATGACTGAACAAGAAACATGAGTTCCAAAGGGAGGATTTCTGTGATTGACTCAGGGCTGTCAGAGCTTTCAAAGGCCTCCCCTGGGGTGGGATTATCATTCCTGTCCAAATGTGTCACCATGGCAGCAGAATATGCCAGGTGGACTATGGCAGTGCCCCCATATTTGATGGAGGAGGATTTAATGTGTTTAAAGTTAGACACAATGTGATTCTTAGCTCCCCTTAAAAGGATCTCCAGACCACTGTGTTACAGTGTTACACGAGCAGTATTACATGCTCTGTTGATTATATATTTTTACTCTTGGTTGTTCAAGAACTAAATGTATCACATTTTTAAAGGAATCATTTCAGAACTTTGAAACCTTTTTGTCATAGAGAAAATGAGGAAAATTGTACAGAAGTTTCTATAAAGTCCACCCCCACTATTGTGAATAATTCTTGAAACTGTATGTTTTATCAACGGAATCATATTTTTTTTTCTGGTTGTTGTTAAACAAATTGAATCATATGTTTAATCTGTTATTAAATTTGCAAAATGAAAAATAACACATTCATTACAATGTAAACATCATTTTTTGTTAAGTATACTATATTACCAATAATTTAATGATGGTAAAGAAAAGGGAAATTGACATTCAATCGCTATGAAAATATAGGAAACCTCACATTTTCATGAGAATGGTGGAAAATAGGCAAAACTAATATCCTTTTTCCACTTACTCTTCTTAACCACCAAATGACATGTGTTTTATTAGAAAGAGCCTTATCTTACTCTGTCATATCCTAGAAATGATAAATAAAACTTGAACTTCTGTGTTGAGCTTCTAATCTTTCATCCTATGCCTAAGTTTTTTGTCATTTTAACTAATTGAATAAGAGGAATGTAATTCAAATTCTATTTTCTAAAACATTTGTAAGCTTTCTCTTTTCCCCTCTAAAGCTTTAGTTTATGCCTTGAAGAATCTTTCCGAATCTGTGTATTTCTTAATGTGAATCTAGTGCATTAGAAACTCAAATAGTTGAAAAAAATCTCCCATAAAACCCCTATCCACACATTTATACCAAAAACAAAACAAAACAAAACAAAACACTGTATGAAACCTTCCTCTCCTATATCATCAGAAACTGATATGTGGTTCCATAGCATGTTATTGTTTGTATCTGTCCCTGGTAAATACAGAACTAAATGTTCACCCCAATGACTCCAGCTAGATCCTGACACATTTTTGTGTGATCATGTGTCTTCTACATGTTCTATTAAATATTAATTATCCCTAAATCTGTTATTTGAGAACAAGGAAATGACTCCATCCCTGGTCTCAATCTGTGGCCCTACTCTCAATGATCAATGACCAATCAGGGATGTCCAGGAGGGACAAGGTATCACTGGCCCCATACCACCCCACGGTGTTCCTTTTGTATGACTCATTGTCTTGTAACATCCA